CTTTTCCTTCCCGAAGGAATTTTTTTTTTTTTTTTTTTTTACTCTTAATGACCCCAAACTTTATAAACATGTTTGTTTGTCCCTCAGTGAACCCCAGCCCTATGAAAGGCAAAGGGAAAGGTCGCCCGGCTAAAGCAGTGGAGAAATCCTCGCCCAAAGACGATGAGGAACCCGAGAGCCCTCTTGAAGACGAGGAGGAAGAAGAGGTGGAGAAGAAGTCTCCTCCATCCAAAAAGACGAAGGATGAAGCCCCTGAAGACGAGGAAGAAGACGAGGAAGAGGACGGCTCAGAAGAGGAGGCTCCATCCGGGGAAGACTAGCCAAGATTTTTTTCAGTGTCTGTTGTGGCCTGGCTCAACGGTTTGAACTCTTTCTTTTTCTTTTTTTTTTACCTATAATTTCCATATCGCGAAGGACATTTTCCCAGAACTTGTGAGCGTATATATCTATATATATTATTGAATAAAATGTGTCTGAGTCTGTTTATTTATGGGTATATAATCTTGAGGGAAGCCCATCGTTCCAAGCAAGTAGCGTCGCTGTTCGCCTAGGGTAATCACATTACCGAATTCTCCAAAAATGCTTTTGCTCGTTCATTTCCGTAACCTGTATAAAGCGTAGCGTTCACTCTGCATTGTTGCGGCTGATGGTCCTCATTCATGAAATTAATTGCGGTGTAAAATGTTCGTAAAACCATTCTTGCGTAAAGTATCGCAACTAAGGGCCTCGCTCGAAAACAAAAGTGTAAACACAATTGTTTACAAACTGATACAGCCAATTAGATTGTGCTTGTATTTAACAAACGAGGACCATATTGGTGCGTTTAGTTTGTTCGCAAAACCATATTTGCGAAACTTCCCACAAAATACAGCAATTTACCTATGAATAGTTTTGCGAAGTTCTACAACAGTGTTTCCTGAATGAGATCCGATGCGTTTGTTGTGTAGTGACTATCTAGAAAGCCATTCGTTAGCAAGTTTAGTAATAGTTGATGGCGTTTGTTTTGATACTAGCGGTCAGGGTCGTTCTTATCCGAGGATTCGTTTTGTATTTATTCAACATGCGCTTGCAGCTCTTTACATGTTGATCATCAGCTGAAGATGGAGAAACTAATGCTATCTAATGCTCATGTTTTGAGAATTTCTTTCGTCGTTGGTTTGCTATTCAGTTTGTAGTTTTACCTTTTAAATAAACTTGTCTCGATTTGTGTAGTTTAAACAATAATGCTGTCACTGTTTGAGTAGAATATTCTGGGTTAAAAATGTCAAGTTCTGTTTATGAAATCTGCAGAATTTCCACCGAAAAGATTTGTACCTCAGTTTGTTGTGCACTTATAATGGAAGTCTATACAGCAACTGTACAAGGTTTGCTCCATTGTAAGTGCATTTGTTTTTTTTTAGCAACCTGAGATATGATTGACATATTTTCTGTGATGATCCGTTCTGCAGATGCCATGCATTGAGCTAAGCTCATTTTGAACCTGTAATATTTCTAGATTCATGCTCATTTCACTCTGAACTCTGTAATGTGCGTTTGTTTTGTATATTTTTTTTTCGTCCACCAGATCATCTCGTAAAAAGGCAGGAAAGTGCGAATGCTTTCATCTCTTTCCTCAAAAAGAGTCACGCAGCGAGTGTTCTGAGATCGGGCCTTAAAACGGTTAATTGCGCGAGAAATGTGAATCTGGTGTCTCGCGCACTGTTTCTGCCTTACGAAGCCTGTTTTTTTTTTGTTTTTTTTTTATAAATATTGTACCGCGAAGCTAAGCGTTCAGAAACCGGGACTCGTGCCCGTCTTTGTCCGAGATTGTATTGCTGTTGTTGAGGGATCTCTTCAGCCGAGCAAATAACGTTTTAAAGAGTCAAATGTTGTTTTTCTTCAGCCCTGGATCAGATGCGTTTGTGATGTGACAGAGTGGCATATTTGCACTGTGAGGATGGAGAAGAATTGTACTATTCATACCTTGTGTGTTTGCTCATTAAATATATATTTCTGTTGCTGCTTGTTTTTAATTTCAGACACATATGATGTATATCCCATGATGCATTTCAAGGGGCTTTTCTGTCTACAACGCATACATGGCATTCTGACTAGGTTCGATCCTTTCTGCAAGGCATCTGAATATTTTCCACTCGTGCTGTCTATAAATTGTTTTTTAACCTAGCTGTCCAAAAATGTATGAATGTTTTGTTTTTTTGTGCTTGATTTAATTTCAAGTTTCTTTTTTTCCTTCCTTCCAGATTTTTTTTTCTTCTTTGTATTGTTTGTTTTTTTAAGAAAATAAATAAAATGTATCTTCATTTTAATGAGTAACTCTTGAACTGGTGTCTTCTTGTGCAAAACATCTTCCTTGGAGATGCACATTTTATAAATGTGTTATGTGTGATACTATAATAGGTTAGTGTGAATGTCATTGAAATGTTTTCATTATTCAAAATCAATTGTTTCAACTTTGTCTTAAAATGATGAGAACAATAAGAAACAGCATAAGTTGAATGCATCCTCAGCGAGTTTCCATTTGTTTGTCACCGAAAAACACATTCTTAAAGGAATAGTTCACCCAAAAATGAGATATTACTCACCCTTAGGCTATTCAAGATGTAGATGAGTTTTGTTTTGTTTTTTTTGTGAGGAAAGATTTGGAGAAATTTAGCATCCTACAAACATGCAGTTTTTTTGTTTCACAATAACTTGTTGGACTGGAGTGGTGTGGACTACTGTGATGTTTTTATCAGCTGTTTGGACTCTCATTCTGACGGCACCCATTCACTGCAGAGGATCCGTCGGTGAGCAAGTGATGGAATGCTATATTTCTCCAATTCTGCTCTAATGAAGAAACAAACTCATCTACATCTTGGATGGCCTGAGAATGAGTATGTTTTCAGAAAATGTCCATTTTGGGTTGAACTGTTCATTTAAAAGGAAATTCATAGTTGAATCAGTTCTGACAGCACTTAGAGAACTCAAATGGTGACAGAACAGTATTTCTCTATAAACTAGATGAAAAACAATCCAATGCGGAATTATCTGAGTATAATGGGTATATTTGAGACACTTCTGTGCTGCTAGTATAATTCTTTATATGAATTACAATTTGATCAAATTAAGATGTAGAGTTTAAATATAGCAGGTGCAGGAATATGAAGTGCTTATTTTGCAGTTACTTATAAAACCAACTTGATTTTAGTATGTAAGTTAGTTTGTCATTCTATTTTTGTTTCCATACACATAAAGTCGTCAGCAGTTGCGATACTAAATTCCAACACATGATGGCAGTGTTGTCACATTTAAACTCCTTCAATGTGCAAATCTGAGACAGTTTAGTGTTAGCCATATTTGTGCATTTTAAGTAGATTTTTCTGGTATCCGTAATTAACTACTACAATTTTTACTTCTTACATTTTTTTTTTTTACACATGATCAATAGGCTATTATTTCTTTTCACTACGCGCCTTTTTCAACCTATTGGTGTATCAAGAGCAAGAAGAATGGCTAACATTGTGGATGAGACAGAGGGAGTTAGCCATGTCGACATGATTGAGAAATTAGAACCATTCCCAGGGCTGTACAGGGCGACAACTATGAAAAAATCAGTCTGTGCGATTAATAAATTTACCACAGAAGCACACCTGCGATACAGATTTGCAATGTGTGTGAGCCTGTTTGCAAACCTGTTGTCAAACAAAGAGAACATTTAATGACATGTTATTAATCCAAATTCAATTAACAGCCGAGTGTTTGAAATAACTTCCTTTTGTGATCTGACATGGTTTCATATCAGAGAATGAGGAAGAAATCAGAGTGATAGAATGCTGTTGATTAACATTGCATTATAAATATATTTTATTTGTATAAAAATACCCAAGATGGCTTGAAGAACACAGATAAATCATATATTGTCGCAATCATATGTTTATTGTATTTTATTGTCTCTACCCACATTTTATTCAGCTACTGCCATGGTTGGATGCCTTTGTCCATATAAGAGATTTCCTGGAACGTCATAAGTTCTATTACTTCTGTGAGTCTTACTTGAGTTTCTGCGCGAGGATGCCCTCAGATTACATTATGTGTGTAGTCACTGATGCTCACTCACAACACCCTATCCTGGGTAAAAATAGGAAAATAACACTTTTCTTTAAAGAAATTGGAAGTAAACATCCATAGCCATACATTTTGCAGTGTAGAGAGGTGTACTGTAATTTTTTCTCTCAGTGGATGCATAAGAATTCCTGATAAAAAATAAGAAATTACCATCACCCGATTTTTTTCATCATAATTTAATAATGTTATAATAAAACCTTAGACATTTGTAATGATTTATAATTATAGGCTCCCTGCTAACAGGGGTAATAATTTATGCTTGCATTCTCATTTTCATTCTGTTTGCATTTCAATACAATTTACAGTGTAACTCATCTCAATTTTGTCATTTTTAAAGCATCACAGTAATTCTGAGTTGTTTCCAAGGACAAGAGGCAGAATCACCCTACAATCTAAGATGTGGCCTAGTGATGGCAAATGGTTATTTTTAATTCATTCATTCCGTCAGCATAGTGTTTTCTCTGCTTGTGTAACTGCAAAAAAGTAACAATAATAATTATCATCAAAATGTCATTTTACTACAATAACTCACTGTCATTATAAAACAAAAATAAATAAATGGTAGTAAGTTTCTATGAAAAAAGGGAAGTTGAAGGGTGACATAAAAAAAAAAAAAACAAGAAGCTGAAGGTGTAAAACAAAGAGTGTGAAAAATGTCAAGTTAGTCTGCTTGAAAATGAGAAACAAACAAGACTTTTAACCATTAGGTGTTTGCAGTTGTTTTCTGGGTAAAAAAAGCATTTCTTATTTCCTGTTTTTCAAATATTTTTAAATAATAGTTGTTAATACGTAAATAAGTAAAAAAAAATATATATATATATATTTTTTAGAACGTTTAAAATAACAAAAAGTGCTACACTACTCAGTAGTTCAAATAATCAAAAGTAAATGAATAATTAATAAAAGTATCATATGTAAAAAGTATGCATAAATGTAAATGTGTGACCATGTAAATGTGAAACAACTGCTCCAACATGTGAAACTGGAAACTTCTTTCTAATGGCTCAGATTCTTGTGTTTTACTGACAAGGTGTTGAAATTTGACATATGCCCTGATATTTTGGATTTCTCGAAAGGAAATAAAACTGAACCATCCACATTTTTTCCACCAGTGGGTGGGTGATTAATATTACATGTTAAACAGTGATGTCTGACATGCTAAACTCCATCTAAACCTTGTACAATTACATGCAGTTTATGACTTTAATATTCATTAAGAGAGTACATATAATATTTATATTTCTAAAATGAATTTGTTACTGCAAGACCATTTAATAGAACAATAAAAACAGCTGAATGATGATTGAAAGGAAGAAAGAGACAGACAGACAGACAGACAGACAGA